CCATTATCATTTTAAAGATATAATTTTGGAACAATTTGTATAAAATACTTAAATTATTAATTTGAATATAACATTACACGGTCAACTTAAATATAAATTTTAGTTTAACTTAAACAACCCAAATAATATTTTGTAAATAGTTAAAAATGATTAATCGTAGTGTCTTTCTAATAATGATAATAAGTTGGTTAATAAGGTTAAATAAATATCAAACCTAAAGTGTAATCATAAATATACTAAATTTCAATTTTAAAATAATCTTTACTTCTACTTATAAATTTATGTCTTTAACTTTTAATATATTAGATTTAATATGTTGTTGTATGTAAACCATTATCAGTTTAAAGCTACAACTTTTAAACAGTATGGACAAAATACTTATATTGTTAATTTAAATATAACATTACAATGTCAACTTAAATATAATTTTCAGTTCCACTTAAAAAAACAAAGAATATTTTGTAAATAGTTAAAAGTGATAAATTGTAGTGATAAATACAAAAACTAAATTGTAATCTCAGTTTAACTAAAATATTTACTAAATATATTTTTATCATCTTTAAAAATTTTCAAATAAGTAGCTTAAAATAATTTATAATAAAAATAGTTAAAAATAACTCTACATAAATGATTATATTGTTACCTTTAAAATCAAAAAATAATGTTTGATGTTTTAAATAATTATAATGATAGAAATTAAAACATTAAGCAAATAAATTTTAAAAAATTAATTAACAATAACAACAACTATAAATAACATTTAACCATATATTATATTTAATTTTATTGATGTGTAACTCGCGGGTAGAAGTCATTCAAACGATTGAGATTATGCAGTTATAATAGATGTATATATTATCATATAATTCAAAATAATCAATATATTATATCAATTTAGTATACAAATTATTATATCAAATTTAACAACAACGTTATTGGCTTATTGCTATATTTAAAAAAAACATATATTTGTAGAAACTTCAACTCTATAGGTGTTTCTGCGCAACGCACGGGCATTCGCCTAGTATCTTATAAAGCTAGCATTTTTCTAAGCATCACATTGATTTGAAACTCCTTTGTCATTTCATATTCTCAAAACTTATAAAAGAGGCAAATTTCCAAGCACCATATTGATTTGAAACTCCCATGTTTTTACATATTCTCCAATGACTTTTCAAATGCATTTTAGTACTGATTATTAATTGCTTATACGTCAAACATGTTATATAAGTTGTTACATGTGATTTATGAATCTTTGTTTCTCTCTTTAGTTCTTGGTTTCTTAAACATCTCACTTTGAGTGAAATTCTTTCTGCATCTTCTTAGTTTATAATGTCACCAACTTGAAACATTACAGTTTTAGCAACATTGCACCACACTTCTCCAATCACTCATGTAAGAAGAATGTTGATTACATTGTGTTTTTATATAGAAAAGGCAAAATATGATTTGTTGTGTTATGGATTTTAAAAAAAATGGTGGTCGGATGTTGTATATTTAATTGTAGTGGATGTCTAATATTAGGATTTGGTTCATAATATTTTTTTATATGTTAATATCCTTTTGTTTATGTTATATTAAGATTATTGTGCAATGTAGGTGGTTGTGTGGTAACTTTATGTTTGTAATTATATTTTAGTTTTCATTTATGGGTGGTTGTAATTGTATTTTATATTTGTAATTGTATTTTAGTTTGTATTTTACTTTGCGTTTATGGTGTTTACGGGAAGAAAAATATGAGAATGATCGATACTTTGATTGTTGGCGGTTTTTTGTTGTATGCATCATATCCACGTTAAACATAGATGGACATTTAACCTTATGTTTATGTTATGATAGAGTAAAAAAATTATATTTGTTTTATTTAGGTACATTTATCTTTGTTTTGAAAAAGTCTTGCTACACAAGTTTTATCTTTGTTCCACTTATATAGAAGAAATTCTAAAATGTTTACCTTTTTTTAATATTGGAATGCGATTGTCCTTTTTATTTTTTCCTTTTGGTACACGACACAAATGAACACAAGTAAGATTTAAAATAATTAGCATTATTAATAACTTTATTTATAAATAACTTAAAATTCTATCCAGTTGTAGTATATGAAGTATTTTCAACCAAATGCTCAATTTCCTTAACAATTAAACACTAATAGATGTTTATAATTCTCATTTTATTAACAAATA